AAAGGCTCAAAATTTGGCAGATGGATTTCACCTTCCCTCCAACCCCCCCCTGGCTTGAACTACGCCCACGACTCACCTCCCAAACCAGAGAGCATTTGTTTGTTTTCTTAACAGACTCCTCGTCGGACTCATCATCATCTTGAACAAGAAAACAACCGATAAATATAAGCGATATAACCAATTTTGGCCCAAATTTTGGGTTAGGAAGAGCAGGGAGCCCCACCAGGCACCATTTTCCACTTACCCTCGCCCTTTGTGTTTGATGTTTGCTCGTCCCATTTTATTCGGTGAAGCATAAGACGTTTGAATTTCTTCTGTGCTTTGGGGCCTGGGGAAGAACCCGAGACTCAACATTTACCAAATTCTTTTAACCTTCAGGTTTTAGGAGGTTCTAAAAAGCAGCAGAAGCCCAAATGACTCCCACAAATGCTTCCCAGCCTGGCCAAGCCAACCCAGCACTAATCCCACCTGGGTGGCCAAGCTTCTCCCTCAGCCTTTGGCACAGCTCTTGGGCCACCTCCTGCTGCCAAACGGGCTCTTCAACACCTCACCAAAATTACTTAGAACAGCACCAAGTGTGAGGAATCATGAGAATTTATACTCTCCTTGCTCTGAGTATCCCCTCGGAGCATCAGGGAGTCAAATGAAGTGATTCTCCTTTCAACATCAAATGTGTTGGGTTTTCTAACTGGATTAGAGCACGCCCTGCAGGCAGCACTAACCCCATCAGAGCTGTAATTAAGGGAGTCTTCTCACTTCCACCTCCTTCCATCACCCTCAGCCAACAACTTTCCCACTCATTTTTGGCCAGGGGCAAGCTTTTGAAGGCTACACCGTGACCAAAAGCCTCCCTCCAAAGTCCTCACCTCCTTCTACCACGACCACGTTGACATCTTTGTGTAAAACCACCACTCCTGTTAGGTAGAGCTGGCCAGCGTTGGCCTCGATTTTGAATTTTTTTGCTGGATTGCTCAAGTTTCTGACCCTTGGATAAAAAAAAAACACAAAAAAACCAAGTGTTTGTGAAAAAAACCAAAACTATTATCACCAAAGAGCTCCCTGTTGGTCCCAGCGTTTCCTCCTCCAGCTCCTTGGAAGCTTTACCCACACCTCAACCCTTCCCATTCTTCTTTCATTTAGGTCTTGAGTTCCCCAATTTCTGGATATCACTGTACCAGGTTAACTCTGACAGCTGGGAAACTGCTCTCTTCATTAGAAAAGTCAATCAAAGCTAAAATACCCTAAATCTGATGCATGTTTTTAGTGCTTGGCTGTAACAGGATGAGTTAAGGATGGATTTAATGACCTCGACCTTTGGAACAGTGTCACAGCTCCAGGCCAGGATCCTTTAAGGCTTGATGGAAACCTGACAAGCAGCTCCTTGTTTCCAGAGGGTGTATTTAGGAAGAGTTGTGCAGGAAAGCACCCAGCCCAGCCCTCACCTGTACACAGCTATGTGAACTCCCTGGGAAACGTCTTCTTTCAGCTTTTTCACCTTCTTGGCTTTTCGTTGCTCTGCTGTGAGCTTTCTGGCAGCATTTGCTTCTTCGTGAGCTCTGGATGCCAAGAGAGATGGGGCAAGAAACAAAACTCAGCCTCCCACGTGCCTGCTTGGGCACAAACACATCCTAAGCACTGAATATGTTCCACAGATCCCCAAGTGGCTGCAATTCCTGCCCAGATTTTGCCCTGAATTAAAAGCACGTGGGGCTTTCTAAGTCAACCTCAGCCTTCTCTCTGGAAATGTTTATTAGGAATATAATAAACTCTTTAATAGGAGGCTGCTGATCAGCAAGATCTGATCACCACAACCCAGCTCCCCCACAGGCCTCGGGGTGTGGGGGGGCTCATTCAAAGCATCTAAAACAGATCGACAAGCAGAAAAATCACACTGTTGCCACTTCGCTGCATCACTTCAAGGGTTTAATTGTTTAAGGGGGGAGAATCCCTCTAAAAATGACCCCAAAAAAACCCCAAAAGTGCCACCTACTTCTGCCTCTTTGCCATCTGTGCTCGAACGTGAGCTTCGACTTTGGTGGGGTCCTGCACAGCTTCAGTCCCCAGCACTCGCATCAAGTTGGAAATTCTCACTGCAAAGGGAAAGGAGCCATGAGGAGCTCCTGCCAGGCACCAGTTTGCCATACTGGGAAAGCCCAGGAACACCAGCCCTGCTTGCAGGCTCACAGACTGCCCCATCTGGGCAGCAGTCGGATCACACCGACACAGATCCGGGCAATCCCGTCGAGGTTGTGCTGCCAGCAGCATTCCCAACCCTGTCCACGCTCAGCCTGGGCTGCTGGTTGGATGGTTCTGGGCCTGCATTAGCCCACAGCCTCCCTTTTGTAGCCACCACTTACCTTTGGGCTCTGGAGGTGGCATCAGGCCCAGCCTGACTTTCTCTTGTAGCTCCTTCTGGGCTTCTCGCCGAGTCTGTCGCCGTAATTTCTTCTGCTCTTTCTTAGTTAAATAAACTCCCAGGGTCACTGGTGTGTCACTGTCCACTGGGAAGAGACAGGAGGCAAGAGAAAACATAAATCTGCTGTTGGAGAAGGGAAAACAAATCTGCTTTTGGAGAAGGAAAACACCACTGGCAACCATCCTGCTTTTACTGTGCTCCGTTACATCCCCACAGACCCAACCACTTACTGGCACCAAACATGGAACTTGGGCTATTTTTTTTTGGTCTTACTGAAAGAGAAAATGCTCTGTGGTTATTTTGTCCTTTCCTCAGGGTAAAAAGGTCCAACCCAGCGTGGTGGAGATGAGCTTGTGTCTGGACTGCAACCCCACCTCCACCATCAACACCCACACGAGCTACTGGTGACCTCCTGTTAAAGCTTTTATATTGTTTCCAAGTTTCAGAGTATTTTGGCTTTAAACACCAAAGTCACCCAAAACTGGGGCAGTACCTGGTGGGTTGAGCTGTGCTGGGTGCTCCACGAGGTTTGTGATCCCAAAGTACTCTTCTCTCTTGGAAGACGTTCCACCTTTTCTGGAAAGGAGAGTTGGGTGTTGTTATAAAGATCCCAGCCTCAATTCCTGTGTTCCCTTCAGCCATGGGGGGTGGAAAAAAACCCCAAACCAACATTTCTCTGGGTCAGGCATGGTGAGGATGTGACAGGCACAAACCCTGACCCAAAGCATGGACCAGAGCTTGATGTGTTAACGTGTAGCTGTCTCCCACTCTGGACATCCACCCACATTTCACAGCTTCCTACAGCTCTGTCCTGAACACAACCTGTACAGAACACTCCTGCTTTAAACCCACACACCATGAACTCCTGGCCAAAAAAGTCCTTCTAACTCCATGGCAGTGACCTCAGTCCCTGAGGGAATGCTGCCTCCAACCAGGGAGAAGGGCAGAGGCTTCCCACCAGCACCAGGACAGGCTCTGGGAGCAAAGCTCAGGCCCACCTGCATCCCAGAGATGAGGGAGGTGGAATCCCACAGCTCAAGCAGATGAGCTCCAATTGTTTTGGTTGGAAGAGACTTTAAGGCCATTGAGTTCACTCGTGCCCCCAGCACGGGCAGGTCCCCACTGCCCCGTGTCCCTCACCCCACATCTCCACGGCTTGGGAACCCCTCCAGGGGTGGGGACTCCACCACTGCCCTGGGCGGCCTGGCACAGCCCTGGGCAACCCTCCAGGGCAAGAAATTGTTCCTCAGGGGCAACTGAAACCTCCCCTGGGGAAACTTGAGGCATTTCCGTTTTTCCTCTTGTCCTGTCCCTTGGGAGCAGAGCCCGACCCCCCCCCGGCTCCAGGCTCCTGTCAGGAGGTGTCAGAGCCAGAAGGTCTCCCCTGAGCCTCCTTTGCTCCAGGCTCAGCACCCCCAGCTCCCTCAGCTGCTCCTCCCCACACTTGGCCTCTAGACCCTTCCCCAGCAGCTCCGTTGCCCTTCTCTGGCCACGCTCCAGCCCCTCAAGCTCCTTCTTGACCCAAAACCACCCCCAGGATTCGAGGTGCAGCCCCCCCAGTGCCCAGCCCAGGGGGACAATCCTGCCCTGCTCCTGCTGCCCACACCAGTGCTGCCCCAAGCCAGGCTGCTGGTGGCCACCTTGGCTACCTGGGCACACACCAGCTCCCTCCTGCAGCAGAGGGACCCAAACCTGGCAAGTCAACTACTTACAAGTCGAGGCCGTTGGGGATGATGTAGGAGTCCCACCACTCTATCTCAGGGATCTCTCCTTCTTTCAGCTCCTTTTTTGGGGTGATAAGGGCCAACTTGGTGGAAGTGTGTATCCCTGTCTTCCTGGCAGCCTGTGAGATCTCAGCCTGCAGCTTTTCTAGTTGAGCCTGAGAACAGGGAGAGGACAAGGGCACATCAAGGTCATTCCAAACCAACCTGACCTTCAGGGACAGCACAACACGTGTGCACCTGCTGATTTCTCTCTGGTTTTTAAAACCATCTGAAACAGACCCCAGAAAGAAACCACAATGCACGTGACAGCACAGTGCAGGAGTCCTCAAAGCTGCCAAAAATCTGCTCTTCTTGCTGAGCCTTCTGGGAGCATGGAGCAATCCCAGAGGAATGGCTCTTCAAGCACCAGATCCCTGGAGCTGAAGGAAGCTTTTCTCTCCCTTCTCCTCAAGAACTTGGAAATTTTACCAAGATGCCTTTAAATTTCCACCTCTAGGGTGGAAAGAACACTTTGCTAGAAAATGACCTGTTACTTTTGGCAATTTTTCAGGTTTTTGTCATAAAAAAACCCCCAACCAATTTCATCCTTCAAGTGAGCTGTAAGAAAATCCTTTTTCTCCTAATTTGGATCCTGCCTTTCTAAAATACTGATAAGAAAAGCTGGTGACTCGACTGAAAAGCTTCTTCCTCAACACCAACACAGCTCCCTAACACATCCCAGGAGAGGAGAGGAGACTCCCCATCCCTCACCACACCCTCACAGCTCCTCTCCTCAGCGAGCAGGGCGAATCCTCCAATACCTTCGTGCGTAACCTCTGGGCAATTTTCTCAAATTTCCCTTTTTCATGGAATTTAAAGGTGCGTTTCTGACGCTGGGCTGGGGTTATGGAGACCCGGGGGTCAAAGTAAGTGTTCGACTCCATATCTTCTGAGGGTTTTTCTTTCAGCTGCTGTTTGAACTGCTCTCTCTTCACAGCTCTGATGTTTGCCTTGAGGGTGGGCATGCGGTGAGTCAACTCAATCTCTTTACCAGTGGCATCAACCGTTCGCCCTTGCTCATCCAAAATCAGCGGCGTGGGCTTGGTCTGATCCTTCAGCTCCACTTTCCTGAGGGGGAAGGCAAGAGATGTGGGGGTCAAACACTGAGCAAGGCTTGAAGTCAAAGAGAACGTGAGGTGTGGAAAGCTTAGGATTTGTGAAAGCTTCCTCAGGATGTTAAAACTCATCGGGGGAAAAAACGCCCCAGAAGGGACTCAAAGCTCAGGGGCAGATGTTGGGAGGGTCTTACCCAAAGAAGGAGCAACCTCCACTTCTCACATAAAATTTGTTCCTTCAGCAGCTGTTAAAGCCATTGCTAAAGAAGAAACAGCACTGGAGAAACATTGGGCCAGGATCTCCTCAGAGTTCTGAGTGTGGGGAGGAGCAGCTGAGGGAGCTGGGGGTGCTGAGCCTGGAGCAAAGGAGGCTCAGGGGAGACCTTCTGGCTCTGACACCACCTGACAGGAGCCTGGAGCCAGGGGGGGGTCGGGCTCTGCTCCCAAGGGACAAGGGACAGGACAAGAGGAACCAGCCTCAAGTTTCCCCAGGGGAGGTTGAGGTTGGCCCTAAGGAACAATTTCTTCCAGGGCAGTGGTGGAGTCCCCACCCCTGGAGGGGTTCCCAAGCTGTGGAGATGTGGGGTGAGGGACACGGGGCAGTGGGGACCTGGCAGAGCTGGGGGCACGGGTGGACTTGATGCTCTTAGAGATCTCTTTCAACCCAAACACTTTGGTCATTCAATGATTCCATTGACATCCAGAGGACGCCACAGAAATTATGTGACGGGGGAACCCTTCTGCTGGGAGCCCAGCCGGAGAGAGTTGGGCTGGGGCAGCCCTAGAGGAGAAGGACACAGCTGGGGAGACCTGCTGGGGGC